AATTAAAGTAAATAGTGTAAATGACATCGCTAATGTCACAGAAGAGCACATTGTAACGCAGTGTTACAACGAGCCCCATCTGCGCAACTGGAATTTAAAACTGGTCAGTGTCTTCTGCTAGTAATCAAAGCATTAAAAAATTATCTGAACTGATAAATAACAGATTGGAGATTAAAATAATAGCAGATTTGTCTCATTTTAAATGAATAATAAAAACTGAGATAAAAAATTTACTTAAGCCAGAATTTAAATGTTACTATGGTAAAAATATTTATTCAAACCATGTGTGTTACAACTAACACCCCGTTACTTTGTGCATCGCACTCATCGCAAGTTTATTGTTAAATTGTTAAATGCCCTTACATATCTCTGTCACCATTATAAGTGTTTGATCACCACATTTGCGTGATCATTGCAAAAAATGTGTTTATGCATATATATTCTGTTAATGTATATACTGTATTCTATATATAGTACCAGTCAAATGTTTGGACACACGAATGGGAAAGTGTCCAAACTTTTGACTGGTACTGCACTATAATATACACAAAGAATATCGGCCGATATATCAGTATCTAACCTTTTTTTACTCCATAATATCGGTATCGGTCCCAAAAAACCCATATCAAGCTCTAGTTTTTTCTATTGCTCTTTGTTTTAAAAAAGGTTATAAAAATGTAAATAATTATCGATACCGAACGATATGAAACATTATATCGTTGATACATTTTTTTAGCTATATCACCCAGCCCTACTTAAACCGCATAAACACATTTCATTACACAAAATAATGTTCTTTTTAGCAGCATCATATGACCCCTTTAAAGTTGGCACACTGGACGCTTATGCAATAGCCAAGGTGTTTGTCAAGCTGTAAACAAAGCCTAGATCAAACTGTGGAGTGGAGTCCGTTGAGTCTAATTGGCTTTTATTTATCTTCTGTAATAACCCTTTTGCAACGTTCATAAGCATTAGCCAAAACACAGGTACTCGGTTGTGCTGGATTGGTTTAGGAAAATCTCATGTTTTCTCTCGGTATTTTCTGTCCTGGGTTGTAATTGTTGTCATGTCATGTTTTTGTACCGCTTGAGCTTGAGAAAGCCGCTTTATTTTGCACTTTACACCTTAGTTTTTCATAGATAATGCATACAAAACTGTCAGTCATGTTATATGAATGGAAACATGCAAAACGAAGAATAACTATTTAAGATTCTGCACTATTTCTTGGTCATTAATCAAGTAAGAAAGTTGTGCTGTTGATCAGGCTAAAGGCCCAAATATGACTATGAAAATTGGTGCAAACAAGATTTTCGACAGACGCAGTTTGCTTTGTTTATTGTATTGTTAGTTACTCATCTCTCTCCGCTTCTGATGGCTGGCTTTTCATTCAGAAATGTTTATTCAACATTTCCTTTCGCACTTAGTGTGAAAGCGCCTTAAAGTTCACCCAAAAATTAAAATTAAACTTCATCCTCATGTTGTTCCAAACCCAGTTTAGCACACAAACAGCTTAAAGTCAGCAGACGTATCCGCTGTAGTGATGAGTTATACATGACCAATTCTGTGATCTGCTAACTGGAGATTTAATTAGTGAATCATTGGGGTTTAGCGTATGTGTATCCGGATGTTACTTATAGTAAATGCAACAACGTGTGTGTAGGATAAGTACACCGTATCAAACTTCAGCACAATTACATCATCGCTAAAGACACCTAATGTAGAGTGGCTGCAGTATTTATAAGTGTGATAGTACAGTACAATAGAGGTAAATATGTAGTGGTGTAGTTGCAGATTTGGGATACAGCCGGACAGGAGCGGTTTCGCACGATCACACAGAGTTACTACCGCAGCGCCAACGGAGCCATCATCACTTACGACATCACGAAGAGAGCCTCCTTCATGTCTGTGCCCAGGTGGATGGAGGACGTGAAGAAATACGGAGGGTCCAACATCGTCCCGCTGTTAATCGGTGAGTGCAGAGCTGAGGAGTGAGTGTGTCTGGCATTCCCGTGGTTTCCTTTATCATTTGTAATTGCTTTAAAGAAATAGATCACCCTAAAACGGTTTTCACCCTCAGGTAGAGCTGCATGATTAATATGTGAGCCTGCAGCACAAAAGCAGTGTTGAGTCGCTGGGGGATATTTGTAGCAATAGCCAACAATACATTGTATGGGTCACAATTATACATTTCTCTTTTATGCCAAAAATCATTAGGATATTAAGTAAAGATCATGTTCCATGAAGATATTTTGTAAATGTCCTACCGTAAATATATCAAAACTTAATGTTTGATTAGTAATATGCATTGCTAAGAACTTCATTTGAACAACTTTAAAGATGATTTTCTCAATATTTAGATTTTTTTGCACCCTCAGATTCCAGATTTTCAAATAGTTGTATCTCAGCCAAATATTGTCCTATCCTAACAAACCATACATCACATTTCAAAACATTGACCCTCATGACTGGTTTTGTGCTCCAGGGTCACAGTTGTTAAAAGATCGCGATCTGACACCGAGTCAGAGAGCTAGCCTGTTTTCAGCGGCACTCTATTATTTCTGTCTCACAGTCGTTCATATCACAGAAATACTGGGGTGAAAGTTGATGTCTGTGGTAGCGATCAAAATAGAGCAAATCCCCGTTTGAAAGGAACTGGAGCTTCAAATAACCTTTGTGTGATTGCATTGTTTTGTCACTAGATGGAGAAAAGTCACTTAAAAAATGTACAAACAAAACGATGTATTAAATATATTCAAATGTTTAACAATTCATTCCAATTAGTTAAGCACTTTTAAATAGACTGCAGCAATAATATTTTGTTCAGTTCAGAATCGTGCAGCTCTACTAGAGTTTGTTTCTTCCTCACCTGATGAACAATCTGATGAAGAAACAAACTCATCTCCGTCTCGGATGGCCTGAGAGTGAGAACATTTTCAGCAAAATGTCATTTTTGTGTGAACTATTCCTTTAAATAACTGTTTCTGCAAGGTCTCCTGATTAAATCGCTTTAGTTTTGCATCCCAGGTAATAAATCAGACCTGCTGGACTTGCGTGAAGTTCCGGTTGAGGATGCACAGAGCATGGCTCAGCAGCTGGATTGTGTTGGCGCCATCGAGACTTCAGCCAAGGACTCCAGCAATGTGGAAGAGGCGTTCAACCAGATGACCAGTGAGCTCATCCTGAGACACGGCGGGCCCATGTTCACTGAGACCGTGAGCGACGGCTTTAAACTCAACAGCAAGGATGTGAGCAGTGAGGGCTGGGGATGTGAGTGTTGATGAGCGATAAAAAGCTCGCTCAGCTGCTGTATAGATTGAGTGCTGTCAGGAGGAGACCTTACTAGGAGTAAAAGACTCTCAAAACAGTCAGACGTACCTGTGAAGACATTGGGCATGATTGCCAAGAACAAAATTGTCACACATTTAAAAAAAAATCATAAGCAGACAAAATTATTTTCTAAAAATCTAGGCTTGAAAGGACAAATAAGACGTTGTGTTAAACCGTAAGAAGTTTCCAGTTCTGTCTGTCCACACTGAACGCAAAACTACTGTGCGTCGTGACTAGGGACGGGCGATATGGGCTTTAAAATATATCACGATCATTTCTGATATTTTTGCGATAACGATATCAGTGACGATAATTTAGGGAATCCTGTTTCTTTAGAGAAAAGTATTATCTTTCCTATTTTTACCCCAAATTACTTTACTTTAATCGTTTAATTCATACTGGAAGCCGGAGGGCGCCCTTGCGCAGAAACTCCACACATGCATCACAGAAGTAATGCTCCAAGAAGAAGTATCCAGTGATCGCTGTAGCTGAATAAAACGCAGATAAAGACATTTTAACACAAGACAATAAACATGCGATTGCACAAAATTTATGGTATCTGTGTTCTTCAAGCAATCTTGGGTATTTTTTATAAGGATAAAGTATATTTATAATGCAATGCTAATCGACATAGCCTTTATCACTGTATAGAATGCTATAAAATAGTATGATTTCTGCCTTATTCTGTGATACAAAACCACGTCTGATCACTAATTATTGATCAAAAATTAAAATATCAGGGCTCTACGGATACTTTTCTTTTTAGGAGTGCTTGTGCAAAATTTAGTAAAAATTGTGCAATTTTACTTGTGCGTAAAAATTTAGGAGCATCTTCTAATCCGTAATCAAAAATTCTGATAAAAAAAGTAACCTTCCCATTACGAGGTGATAGTTGACTCCTTAAAGTGATTTATAGGGAATTTTGTTTTTACCTTTGCAATGGCATTAATCTAACTTTATTAAAAGCATGTCAAAATCAAAAAAATATATTTATAAGCTTTTTAACATTTCTAATTAAAACAACAGAATAAAAACACGTAGAATAAGAATAAGTTACCAATCAAATGAAATCAGTATTTTCAGAGATGGCACAGAAGAACACACAAGTGGCTAGTATAAAAGTGTGTATTTTCAGACATTTAATGAGGCTCGGAGGTCGCATGAGTGCAATTAAATTCATAAATTCATGTTGAGGTTAATGTTTTAAATATAACATTTTGAATATAGAAATGATTTAAATAACAGAAAAGATGCTTTAAAAATTAAACTAAAACTGCCAGCAGGTGGCGTCAAGTCACTGATTTTATCACGGAATCATTCATTCAATTGATTCGTTCGAACAGCTGAATCATTCAGGAACGAAGTGAGCGACTGTCTTTATGAATGGGTAACTGAATCATTGACTCACTAGATTCGTTTAAAAACCCAGTTCATTCATAAATGGAACGGAGATGCTCAGCTGTTACTTTAAAAAAAAAACTATTTTTGTTGATGAAATAGAGCAAAATAAGGCAATTGTGTTGTTGTCAGACAATATACGTCACTTAATATTATCTTCTTGTTTAATGAGCTGTTGTATTAAATCAGTATCACATTTGCAAACTCCCTTAATAATCATTAAAAGCTGTAACTCATCTTAGTTTATCCCGATCTCACAAAACTCCATTATAAGCGACGAAGCTCTCTACACTGCACAATGAATCTCTTATTTACACCCCGTCAACACTGTGTTTGTTATAATGAGAGGATATGTCTGTGATGCATTACTCAACGCTGCAGAAACACGTAAGTACGTTAGAACCTTTGAAGCTCCCTCAGCGCAAACACAATAATAATAATGACAATAAACCTAAATATGACTTCATAGTCGCACGCAGTAGTTTTCAGTCGCACTGTAGAGCCCTGAATATCTTTGTTGGGCAACAGGTTTGTAAACGACTCCTACACGTGCTACTGTAGTACATTTACTCAAGGCTCAGACCGGTTTCTGTCGCACTGTACAGCCCTGTCCAAACCTGTTCCAGATTCAGGAGCAGCTCAATTTCACTCCGCCTTCCTTCACGTCACTCCACACAGTCGCACACAGAAATATGTCAACAACTAGACTTTATCGTTATTATCGTGTGTACCGGTATATCGCAAACGATAAGATATCGCCCATCCCTAGTCATGACACAATCGCAGGCAGTCAGATCGTGTTTGATGCTTAATGTGCGGTTATGGTTGTGTGTAGCCAGACTTTGGACCAGTGAGGCTTCACAATGACCAGGGCCTCCTGAGATAACAAAGCAAGCTGCTGATCAGATGCCGTCGCTCTCAGGCCGGCGGTAGGCTTGCACATGTGTGTGACGTGTTTATACGCCAGCAGAGGCTTTGGTTGACCGTATCCAGCATACATACCATATTTAATTAATGCAAATGAAGACGAGGCTGTGAGGGATAGACATATTTTGTCATCGGTGTGATCGACATCCAGTTATTGCTGTATTCCAGTTGTGGTAAATGTGTTGTTTAGCCAGACTAAGGTGCGCTGCCACTGGCTCAATCTTCCTAATAGTTATGTAACTGATCTTTGGTAACTGGCTCAGCAATGCTGAAGTCATTGTCATCAATATTTCTACTTTATAGCTACTCATGATTTCCAGAGCAGAGGCCGCAGTGATTGTGTGAAAATGTTGAAATGAACTTGCACCAGAACACAGAGAGACAAAAGTTTCTGTAGAGGTTATAGGGTTTGTGACTGTCCCTTTCGTCCGTATTGACCAGAAAGCTCTCATTCTGATTTGAATTCCCAGCATTGTATCAGGAACCGTCATCCTAAGACATTTTGCCAATGATTTTAATGCGTTTTTTACGATTTAAAGAAAAGAAAGAAAACATTTAAAAATGCACCATTTTTCAGAATGCGTTTAATAATCCAGGTAGCAGCATCACTTGTAAATGAGTGGCCGTCTGCAGTGCTCTCGGGTGAATTGGTTTGAATGCAGTGTGTTTACTGTACTCTCCTAACGGCTGCCAAGATGGGTTGCTTTACTCTCGAATTATGTGCTATTTTGTGTAAATGTATGTTTTTTATAAACTGGACAATTGTAAAAAAAAATGCAAACTGTTCTTGCAACCCTTTTGAACTGAAATTTTATTGTAGATGTCACATGGGCATTGATATTTTATACTTTGCATTCATTTATATATACCACAAAGCCTCGTTTAATTACAATAAGAGCATAATAAACTAGCTTTTTAAACTTGCAAAACAGCATTTTTCTGAAAATATTGTGCCGTGTTTCATTTGTGACAGCATTGCACTGATGAATTAGGAAGTAACATCAATTGCACGAATAACCAGAGCCGTATTTGTATTGGCCTGCAATATCTTCTTCAGGTTAAGGGCTCAGTACTTTTTATTTATCTTTTAAATCAAGAAAAACATGTAGGTCTCTCAAATCGAGGTCTAAATTTAGTATATGGTATGGTGGCAGCCTTTAAGAATGTCAAGTGTTTAGTTTCACAAATGTGTATTTTTGGAAAATGAATTTCTTCGGTTAATTTGAGTGAAAACCACAGTATGTGAAAAGTCAGGTGTACTTGAAGGAAAATCATATTGCAAGAGGATTGTTCAGAGAATTTATAGTGCCTTTTAATATTGTAGTTTGTTTTAATCTCACTGTGTTATTACTATGCATTTTGGTGTTTTTTGGTCAATCGGTTAAAAGTTTTGAGAAACATGATCAATCTGTATTTGGTGATAAATTATATTATTTTATCAATAAAACTATCACAGCATAACCTGTATGTATCACACTTTTTTTGAAATGCTTAATTCCTTCAGCAGATATGAATGCATTAATTGGTCACGTGTAGAAAACTCAAAATTATTAACCCAGGTATATACAGAGTATACATTTGAGGAGGTTAAAATTTATGTACTTTATAGTTACGAGTGAAAAACTGGCAACTACCAGAACTATATACTGGAGGTGCAAAGCGTGGACCTCATCATTTACTGGTAAAAGACGAAAACAATGGCTTTTATTGTCTGCATGGTTGTTTTGTGCAAATCTCAGCATAATGTTACAGTGTAACAGTAACCAAATCAAACATAAATAACCTTTAAAAAAAAATGTAGGCGTAACAATGTAACAATTACCTATGTAGATCTGGCACAACGAAGGTAACAATATGGAACATGTTGAATTAATATGAAGTATTACACATATAACTGTATAAACATGGTAGAACATATTTGTGGGACCTGTACTGATAAAATGTCAAAACAGTAAGTTACTATATAAGCTAGCGGTTGTAGAGGTCGGCACCATAAATACCAGTCATCAGGTTGTCCCTAATTACATTGAAAAGATGTCATGAATTCCTAACAAAAAATGTCCTACCATGTCCATGACACATTTTGCATTGTTTTGTTTTCTAGCATGGTTTCAGCGTTTGGTTGAGTTGTGTTGGACATGTATTATTTTTATTCAGTGGTTCAAAATTGCATAAGGAGAATGATGTTTGCGAGAGTAAGATAACAGGCGTGACACTGGAAAAGAGACGGGCTCAGCACAGCACAGCTGTTTCCGACATACTGTTGCTTTATGAGTTACTTCACTTGTCATGTTTATAGTGGTTATATAGTTTTGATGTCATTAGGAGTTTTGCAACAGTGGAAAAAGGTGAAGGGAGGAGTAGGCCATTTATTTCAACGGTTATAAGCCAGAACATAAGACACTCTTTGCTATATGGTTCTAGAGGGCAATAAACTTTAAGCAAGAAAACTAATCGGTATCTTTACAGTTTCAGTGCTTGAGCCCTAAACATTACTGTCCACAAAATATGCTGTAACCATTAAAGGAGACATATTATGCCCCTTTTTACATTATGTAATATAAGTCTCATGTGTCCCCAGAATGTGTCTGTGAAGTTTCAGCTCAAAATACCCCACAGATCATTTATAATATTCTGAAAATGCCTATTTTGAGTGGAAGCATAAACAGCTGTTTTCCGGGCCTGTCTCTTTAAATGCAAATGAGCTGTTGTTCCCCGCCCCCTTTTCCAGAATAGAGCTGCGCTATTACAGCTCACACCTGCTAAAAACATCTGTTTTGCTTCTGATTATCATGTTTATCGCACTGAGATCATGAGTTTTAAACCATGTGAGTTTATACTTCTGATATAGGGTTTTCTGAGCGCACACATCTGAAGCACACGCACAGAAAGCGGCTGTCACAGCATGCGAGCACTAAACTAAGTTCTCATTCACACACAAGTCTACCTTAAAAACACACACAATTTACAAAAACAGTGGGTTATGTCTGTGAAGGTAAACTGCTGGGAAATAAATCTCATGTTTATTTTAGATCTGTGTGGCAGCAGCAATATACAGTAAATAAATCAATAAATTCACTGCTGTCTCGTCTCCTCTGAGGCTGGGACTCTAAACAGTGTTCTGTGCTCGTCTCTGCAGCCAAACACAGAACAGTTAGCATGTTTTGCTCAAACTATCGTCATGGCATTAGAGCTGCTACACCGCTGTCACTTGTGAAAACAATAACGGCGCCGTGGGTGGAAACGGGCAGATTAAGGGGCGGTAATATTATAATGAGATCCCTTTGCTACATCACCAAGAGAGCGAAATCAGACGCGCTCGTTTTCTCAGACGCGTGCAGAAAAAGGCTTCTCAAAACAAAGTGACTGGGTTCATCTTTTTCACGTTCCTTTGGTCTGTAGATGCACTGGGGACCTGATTATAGCACTTAACACCTGGAAAAATCAGATTTTCATGATATGTCACCTTTAAAGGGATAGTTAACCCAAAAATGATGATGTGCTGAAAATGTGCTCACCCTCAGGGCATCCAAGATTAGGTTGAGTTTGTTTCTTCATCAGGTTTGTAGAAATGCAGCACTGCATCAGTGTCTCAGCAATGGATGCTCTGCAGTGAATGGGTGCCGTCAGAATGAGAGTCCAAACAACTGATAAAAACATCACAATAATCCACAGCACTCCAGTCCATCAGTTAACATCTGGAGAAGACAAAATATGCTGTTCCATTCATAGCGAAAAGCCTTGAACGAGTTGTTTTCAACCAGGTATCATTGTTTCTTACACCGAGCAACAAACTGGATCCTAACCAGTCAGGTTTCAGGAGTGGCCATTCAACTGAGACTGCGTTACTGTCAGTCACAGAAGCCTTGCGGATTGCAAAAGCTGATTTCAAATCATCAGTCCTTATTCTGCTGGATCTATCTGCTGCTTTTGACACTGTCAATCATCAGATCCTCCTGTCTGCCCTCTCTTCACTGGGCATCACAGGGATTCCACTTCGCTGGTTTGAATCCTATCTCACTGGTAGGTCTTTCAGGGTGTCTTGGGGAGGGGAGGTATCCAAAGCACATCAACTTGTCACTGGGGTTCCTCAGGGATCAGTTCTTGGACCCCTCCTCTTCTCCATATACACGACATCACTGGGTCCCATCATACAGGCACATGGCTTCTCCTACCATTGCTATGCTGATGACACACAGCTCTATCTTTCATTTCAACCAGATGATCCAACGGTAGCTGCACGGATCTCAGGCTGCCTGGCGGACATCTCAGCATGGATGAAAGAATATCACTTACAGCTCAACCTGGCAAAGACTGAGCTTCTTGTCTTCCCTGCCACTCCAACTCTACAGTATGATTTTACCATCCAGCTAGGTTCTTCTACAATTACCCCATCAACTTCGGTCAGAAATCTTGGTGTAGTCTTTGATGACCAGCTGACCTTTAAAGACCACATTGCAAAGACCGCTAGTGAGCGACGCCTCGTGGTACCATCACAGAGAGGCTCAAAATCACCTTCCAGAACATTCTCGTTCACCACTCCTAGCTGGTGGAACGATCTTCCCACCCCTATCCGGAATGCTGAATCCCTGACAATTTTCAAGCGACAGCTGAAAACTCATCTCTTTAAACGCTACTTTACTTCATCATAAGAAAAAAACAAACAAAAAAAATGTTGCCTTCTCATTCTTAATCTCTCTCTCTCTCTGTCTAGCTTGTATTAATCTGAACAATGCCTGAAACTTTGTATTGCAAACACTTCCTGCATTATTTGCCTCTTTATGATGAATCGCTTATTGTATTCCTCTACTGTAAGTCGCTTTGGATAAAAGCATCTGCTAAATTAATACATTTAAATGTAAATGATAAACATATTTAATGATGGATTTGTTTTTCATAAACAGCTTTTGTCTTCTCCAGATGATAACTGATGGACTGGAGTGCTGTGGGTTATTGTGATGTTTTTATCAGCTGTTTGGACTCTCGTTCTGACGGCACCCATTCACTGCAGAGCATCCACTGCTGAGACACTGATGCAGTGCTACATTTCTACAAACCTGAGGAAGAAACAAATTCATCTACATCTGTAGTACTGTATATATTATGCTCTGGAAACTGGATATGATAGTTTTGTGTTTTGTCTGAAGGAACCGTGTCTCAGCTGATCTGATCGTGCCCTCCAGTCTCTCTCAGCAGCTTGTTCTCTAATGAGGAACTCTGCTAAATGTTAGGTCAGTTCACTGGGCTTCCCCATGAGGGCCTGGTACTTCAGGTCTTTTCCAGTGATCTTCTTATAGATGCTCTCCAAACACACCATGAACGTGCCGTGACTGAATCTGTGGATGGGAGAGTTATTATTCATGAATTGGCCAGTCTCAGATGTTTGGAGGTGGCTTTGCTCAGTTTACTACAACACTACTGACACTGTCTGAAGTACATATGTAGAGATGTTTTGTGGTCCATCATATTCACAAAGGACTTAATCTCTCTTATACCCTTTTAATAATAAAGGTTCCAATAGGGGGGTTTCACAGCGATGCATTAGAAGAACCATTTTTGGTTCCGCAAAGAATCTTTCAGTGAACGGTTCTTAAAAAGAAATTATTCAAGAAATTATATAATAATAAAAAAACCTTGCTGCGTGTGCTGTGTTAAGCTAACTGAGAGTTGTTATAGCACTTGTGTATCATTGCTCTTTTGCTGATTCTGATTGCTTCCATTGTACTCATTTGTAAGTCGCTTTGGATAAAAGCATCTGCTAAATTAATACATTATAATAAATAAATAAATATCTAAGTAGTTGGATATGTTCTGTATTACATTGTTTACACTGCAGAACAAGGATATTAGATCTTAGAGGGGGAAGTCATGGCCTAATGGTTAGAGAGTCGGACTCGTAACCCAAATATCACAAGTCACTTTCACTTCACTAGATCTAGCTCTGATAGTGTGAACATGACTGTGGTTTATCTGGCAGGTCACATGACCCAGACTCTCTCATCAGAGCATCGTTTGGACATTAGTTAAACTGAGGTAGTGACGCTGTAGTACTTTGCAAATGCATTTACAAGGACAGCATGTTAATAGTATAAGAGTTGTGTAAAAAGCAGTTTATTTGTCCAAGAAGGGAACATAGTATACAAAATATTTACAGAGATTTTTGTACAGCAGTTCTCATAGGTGGAACAAATGAAGGATGAACGCCAATTTGCAAACAAAAAACAGCTCATAAGATGTGAAGTCAGCGTCTTGTGAGCCTAGCTTCAGCTCGAACTCAAGTACAGCGAGCCATCGATCTTCAACAGATGTGTGCAATTATTCAGAATAAACTGGACAATCAACACAAACAATGAATAAAACAAACTGCGCTCTCAGTTTATTGACATGTCTACATTTGTAGAGATGCAGGCCTCTGGCGTTCACATGAACATTTCTGTGAATCACTTGAGCTTAGATGACAGTTAAATGATTTTACTGTTATTACATGTATTATTTGTGTTTGATTTATGAATCAGCATCTCCTTTTCCATTCACTGATAGACGAGTCCTAGTCTACGGCAATTTCTGTATGCGACACTAGAGCTTGTTATAAAGCAAAAGAAAAGAAAAATCATAAAACAGAATGAATCTGTTATGTTGCAATGATTATACTCTATTTGTCCCATGCTAGGAAGTTTTTTTTTTGGGACTATTAAATTGGATAATTACATAAATGACATAACTGCATGTTAACTTTGACAGCCCTGATACACAAACCAGTCAATCGTTTGGAATAAAATCTAGACTTTTTTAATGTTTTTCAGAGAATTTTCTTTCTTTTCTTTTAAGGCTGCATTTATTGACTGAAAAATACAGTAAAAGCAGTAATATTCTGAAATATCATTACAGTTTAAAATAATAGTTGAGTTTTTTTGTGAGAATATCTAAAATGTGTAATTTATTTAGTCAAGGCTGAATTTTCTGTCACATGATCCTTCAGAAATCCTTCAGGAGCTCATTATGATCCATGTTGAAAACAGTTTTTACTGCTTCTTAAACTGATACATTTGATTTTCATGACGCTTTGATGAATAGAAAGTTCAGAAGAACAGCATTTATTTGAAACATTATAAATGTCTTTAGGGTCACTTTTGATCAATTTACATTTTTTTATAGATTCCCTAATCTTTTGAATGACAATGCATCAGAGTTTCCACAGAAATATTGTGCAGCACGACTGTGTTCAGCACTGATAATAATCAGAAATGTTTCTCGAGCAGCAGATCAGCATATTATACTGATTTCTGAAGATCATGTGACACTGAAGACTGGAGGAATGATGCTGAAAATACAGCTGCGCATCACAGACATACATTACAGTTTAACAGAGATTCACATAGAACACAGCTGTTTTAAACTGTAATAATATTTTATGATATTACTGTTTAACAGTATTTTTGCAGTCTTATAAATGCAGTCTTGGTGAGCAGAAGAGACTTCTTTCAAAACATTAAAAAATCTTAATTATTCAAAACTGTTTACAGGTAATGTGTATTTATTCCATATTCTGCTACCCGCTTTTACTCATTTTGTTCTCTAGTATTTTCATACGACTCATTTTAGCTCTAAATTGCATATACTGCATGTTACTCTGAGCAAGAGAAGTAAATAACGAATCTACCTCACCCTGGAAACGTCACACTGCTGTAGTTAAATTAGGTTGGATAATATTGTCTGCTAAACGCAGAAATGTATACGAGTTCTGGTTTTATGCTGAAGGACTTCTTTAAATGAGAAAGCAAAAGCCCTTCCATTACCAGCTTTAATAAACAGAAACACAGGTGTTTGGTTGGCTTTGCCTCACCTTGATGCTCATATTCCTGTTCCAGCTGTGCTAAAGCGCCGTCGGCTTCGTCTCTAGAACCGTAATAGTCCGCATCGATGTCCTTCATCAGCTCAGCTCGTGTTTTTCTGGCCGCTGGTGCAGCTGCAATGGAAGAATCAAGCAGATAATATCAGGCAGACGCTCGGTTAAACACCAGAGAAAACTGCTCATCCCACATACTGACAGCAATAACTCATCACTAGATTATTTTATTAACCCAGAAATCTCATTAACCCCTCACACAAAGCTCTAATATTAAGAGACGCCAGCAGATCTTACGCTCTCTCTCGAACAGCTCTCGGACTCCTGGTAAGTGTTTTGCAGCACCAAAATACTAGTATCATCCGTTTCCCGGGACCTCTTTACCCTCACGGTCCAACATCTTGGGCCCCACTCTCTATTAAACACGACACATATAACACTGCCATTTAAAACCCGGAGACCACATTCACAAACTGGGACTTAAAGGTGGAAATAAACTGGTGCGGTCAAACCGTTAATCGCATCCAAAACAAAAGTTTGTTTATGTAATATATATACGTATGTGTGTGTGTGTGTGTGTAGATTTAAAAACAACCACATGCATGTATACATTTAAGAAAAATATGTTACATTTATATATTAAATATACATGTAAATATTTTCAAAATAGATACTGCATGTGTTTGTATTTATATATACATAATAAATATACACAGAACACACACACATATATTATGTGAACAAAAAAACGTATTTTAGATGAGATGAATCACGATTAATCTTTTGACAGCAGTAAAATAAACCAAACATGATTTGATCTGAAAGAATATAGACGAGTATCACTATGTAAAATAAAGAAAGAAATATTTCAGATATAATTCACTATTATTAAGGCATTCATTAACTCTTTCGTGAGATTGCACGAGCGCCACTGAGTTCTGCAGATGCTGACACCAGGAGCAGATTTGGAATTTAAACATAATCTAAACATAAAATTACTACCGTTTTGCATTAATACGTGCAGTTACTAATAATATTTCATGTTTATACAGATTTGACAGTAAAGCTCTAAGCTTGAGTTGGGAAGCATACAAAATTTACTTTTATTAGCAACCGTAACGGGCAAAATTTTATATATATATATATATGTGTGTGTGTGTGTACATATATACAGTGGGGAAAAAAAAGTATTTAGTCAGCCACCAATTGTGCAAGTTCTCCCACTTAAAAAGATGAGAGAGGCCTGTAATTTTCATCATAGGTATACCTCAACTGTATTGAAGAAAAGTTAGTTTTTCAAGGCACTTTTCTTACTTCATACACAAAAAAAGTACAAACTCTGACAAAATCTGATCTTTGGATGGTCTGATATTTTAGAATAGTGATTTTATCATTTCAAAATATAAAGCAAAAAGTAGAAATTAATGTCTAATAAGCCAGTAAGTGCTCCTCTGCTGGTTATAATGGTGATTTGTAGGGATGCATGATATTATCAGACCATTATCAGATTTGATGAATGATGCTGATATAAGACGAGTAGCTCACATGAACCATTAACATACTTGTGTCTCTGAATAAATAAAGCTGGATGCATGTCAGAAAATCACAAGTCTGTGTTGATTTAAAAGGTTAGAAGCTATAGCTTACATGAATAAAAATCACAACACGACACTAGTTAATTAAATCATTTAATATACACAGATTGATCCAGTAATATGTCATTCTTCAAACGGATTATTAAAAACTTAAATACAAGGTGCTCTAAAAGATCTTCTGCTTTAGACCATCTATCAACGTTAAATCCACAAATAAAACTGCATCTGTCCGAGAGAAAACACAGCAGATTGATTCTTTTTAGTTATTTTCAGGGCTTTCAATGTACTCTCACTGAGAAAACGGCTTTAATAATGTGTGCTACTTCTAACAAATACGTTTTTATTCAAAACTAGCCAAAATTGTAAAACAATTGGTTTATGATGCCCGCACAGGACAGACTTGGTGTTGTTTCCAAACCAAAGGAAATATATCAGTATCTCGGCTAACACCCAAAATGAGTTCAGCAATATCAGCAGAAATCTCACATTGTGCATCCCTAGTTATTTGATATATAGTTTAATTTTACATAAGTGTTTGTTTACCACAAAGCACATTTTGGTCATCCCATTAAAAATAACATTGAAACGGGATCATTTTAGAGCTTTAAAGTGCTGGAAACAGTTGTGTGAATGCTTGGAAGTCACTGAAAAGTGCTTGAATTTCTCTCAAAAAGGCTGCACAAACCCTGAACTGAATAATGTAATAACATCTGACTATTTCTGCCTCAACACCACGGTTACAGCGAGCGTTAATACTTCTGGTGTTCTGACCCGTTTCTAACAGAGATTTCTGTGCAGAATTCAAATGCCTCGCTCTGCGGCGTGTTCAGACACGTCTCGCTGGATCTCGGTTTATTACGCGAATCTGACTTTTGATTAAACTGGAAAAATGCAAAAGCTCACTATTTTCACTGGTGGTCTCAGATCTTCAGAGCAGACTGTAGAAGCTATGGAAACTGATGACAGATGACGTTAGAAACACACATTAGTAATTCCTTTGGTGTAACACAGCATCCATCGGCCATTAGTTTGACTTGAGATGATTACCCTATAGTCCGGACCTCCCAGTCTCCTTTCTCTCGGAGCAGGTTGTTGATTTCATCGTTTAAATCCCGAATCTTAAACTCACCCAGACCAGCTGAGGAAGACAGGCACGAGTTAGTCAGGCACACTGGCTTGTTCATCCTTTGGTCTTTCTCTCACAGTCTCACCGTTTTGAATCTGGGTGACTTTCTTTGAAACCTCACTGATGATCTAGAAGAGCAAGACAATAGCAGTTAACCCGAGCATTCGTGGGCCAATGACCCACATATATCAGCAGAACATGGACAGATCTGGACGTGATGTCTGAGCCGTCTTCTCCACTTCTCTGCTTTGGGTAGCTCGTTACACTCCGAAGCTAGAACAGGTGTCCTCTCCTGTGAAGGCGAACGCTAGAGAGAATGCAGACGAGTTCAGAGGACCACCTGCGCTGGACTCACCCTTGTTGATTTCATCGTTTAAATCTTAAACTCACCCAGACCAGCTGAGGAAGACAGGCACGAGTTAGTCAGGCACACTGGCTTGTTCATCCTTTGGTCTTTCTCTCACAGTCTCACCGTTTTGAATCTGGGTGACTTTCTTTGAAACCTCACTGATGATCTAGAAGAGCAAGACAATAGCAGTTAACCCGAGCATTCGTGGGCCAATGACCCACATATATCAGCAGAACATGGACAGATCTGGACGTGATGTCTGAGCCGTCTTCTCCACTTCTCTGCTTTGGGTAGCTCGTTACACTCCGAAGCTAGAACAGGTGTCCTCTCCTGTGAAGGCGAACGCTAGAGAGAATGCAGACGAGTTCAGAGGACCACCTGCGCTGGACTCACCTGAAGCTTTCCCTCTTGCAGCTGGGCTTGATGAAACCTGGCCAGGGCTGTCCTGCAGAGCAACAACAGCATTAACAGAGGACTCTGCTCGAGACACGAGAGAAAGCTTCTTAATCGGACAGAAATACCCAAGAAGACACTCACATGGCCTTCTCTGCGTTTCGGGCCTGCACATGACAGCAGCATCAGTGTTCAGTCGCTCGTGTTTTCTGTAGAACACGTAATCACACACCAACGCATCTCTTCGACAGATAACACGTGCTGGACATTTATTTGAAGCTAACCCTAACCCAGACAAAATATTTTGTTTAAAAAATCCCAATGTGTAATATAAAAAAAGTAATTAGTAAATATTTTTCCACTAAAACTCGTACTATGAGATCTTGACCAGGGTTTGCAAGCCTCAGCACTCACAAAAACACACTGTGCAGACACTTCTCTGAAAAATCAAAAATACAATCTATGATCCAAAACACCGAGTGTATTCCTGGAACAAAACGGAAACACGAGAGCACTCAGAAAAGACAGGCCAGTCTTCACACCCCTTCCTCCTCCAGATTTATTGAGTTTAAAATTACATTTCTATGTCCTACAACTTCAGTTGCATTCACCTTCCGACTTAAAAACTGAGTACAAGCAAATGAAAGTTTTTGTATTATCATCCATTATTATTATTTTTAGAGTAGTCTAAGTGATACTGTACAAAAATAACATTTTGATTTCTGTGAAAACGTTCACCTTTCTTCTAACTCCAAATCTGTTATTACCTTTTGTTATTGAAGTTTTCAGCTTGGGTGGAGCGCCCTACACTCCATCCAGCTGTTATCTCCTGGGATCATGAACTAGGTTTGCGATGTCACGGCTGACCAAATAGCCCATGTTTTAAAGGATTTCATTTTCTGGACCTGTTCTTACACAAGGCTTCCAGAATATGCTATAGAGTTATTTGCGCTATATTACTCGTGACGTATTCATTTGTTGTTGTTGTTTTCTCCACATAGCTGCGCACTGCTAGTTTGGCCCGGATAGACCCAACCGTATGTGTCCTGTGCTGCTTTTCCAGCTCAATCACTCGTAGGCTACCTCAGTCTCAGCGATAAAACAAACAATGCAAGCAGCGAGCGCTTCCCTGATCTCTGTATGGTTGGTTTTTAGCATGTGTGTTTTTCTCCCCATCTCCCCGAGCCTCTCCGACACACGCTCTTCCACTCAACACATCTCTGTTCACCAGTGGCACGGAAAGGGGGTTCTTTAACAAAGCATTATACATAACACCTCTACCAAACTAAACAAACATTTTTTGTATGAAATGCAGAAAGTGGGAAGTTTTCTTCCACCCCTTTCCTCCTTCTACATGTCAAGAGCTCACTGGCCTGAGAATAGCCTCTATCAGCCAACCGATGGCCAGCGAAGAGGACTCAGAGAAAACAATACAGCCATCAATCAGAGAAAGGAGGGGCGATGGAGGGGCCGAGGCTAAGCGGTGGCCTCGATGCTGCACTCTTTGGCCACGTGGCCGGACTTCCCGCAGTTGTAGCAGTTGACTTCGCTGGCCTTGCTGCACTGAACGGCGACGTGTCCGATCTCCCCGCACCTGAGAGGAGCAGAAGCACAGGTCTGCGCGGCTCTCTGGCTCACCTGTAGCACTTGACCTTCTCGCAGCCCTTCTGGATGTGTCCGAAGCCGCCGCAGGAGTAGCACTTCTGCTCGTTAGCGTGGTCGCAGTCGCGGGCCATGTGTCCGGCCTTGCCGCAGTTATAGCAGACCTGCTCGCGGTCCTTCTTGGGCTCCTTGCAGTCTCTGGAGATGTGGCCGCCCCTGCCACAGTTGTAGCACGCTGCAAAACACACACACACACACACACACACACTAGGGATGAGCGATGTCGGCTTAAACATAGCACGAATACATTTCTGGTATTTATTGCCATAACGATATCAATGATGATAATTCAAGGAATCCTGTTTCTTTAGAGAGAAGTATTATCTTTCCTGTTTTATCCCAAAATAGGGTGTTGTGAGCATTACTGAGCACACACGTGTAACGTAATGACGGTTTAATTCATACACTGGAAGCCGGAGGGCGCTCTCGCGCAGAAACGCCACACATGCATCACAGAAGTAATAGCACAGACCACGCTCCAGGAAATCCCTAATATGCACAAAGGCATCCAGTTATCGCTGAATAAAACGCACAACAGAGATTTTAACTGATGAAGCTTGAAGACAATAAACGTACGATTGCGACAATATATGGTTTATCTGTGCTCTTCAAGCAATCTTGGGTATTTTTTTAATAAGGAAAGTATATTTATAATGCCATGCTGATCGTCATAGCCTTTATCGCTGTATATAATACTATCATTCTGTGATATGAAACCACGTCTGGCCACAAAAAGAAGCGTTTCAAACACTCGACTATGTTAAGTTAATTTGGAGAAAAAGCATGTCAATAAATGATACCTCTGCTGGATAACAGGTTTGTAAACGGTCTCATACACATGCTACTGTAGTACATTTATTCAGACGGATTGTTTGTGCACGGTTCAGTCCTGACCAAACCAGCTCCAGTAGAAGGAGCTCTTCGTTTAGCGATAAACTCCTATAATGTCACGTCTGCCTTCCACCATGTCGCTCCGCATGGTCGCACGCAGAAATGTCAACAACTAGACTATCGTTATTATCGCGGAAAGACTAATTCTTATCGTGGGGAGAGTTATTACCGGTATATCACAAACGATCAGACATCGCCCATCCCTACAACACTCAGAGATTTTAAGCTTTCAATGCATATATAGTTTATAGTGATTTCTAAAGCGTGATAAAAGGAACGAAGAAAGACTTTTTGTGACAGGTCAGAACTCCTGTTATGATGTAGATTTGTGATATACATTTTTTTTTTTTTTTTTAAGTACTTTTCCTACATTTGTAACAAAAAACAGTGGTTAAATATATAGGAGTCTTATATAATGATATACAGTTTGTCATGATTAGACTAGGATTTATTTGTAATATAGTGAAGTAAACTTACAGTTAAGAACATTTTGTATCCTCTTTATCTTTTACATGCACATGGGGGGGGGGATTGGTCTGGGAAATATTGCTTCAGACATTTCTATTAGAGTTCAAGAGAAACGGCTAGTAATATTGAATTAAAAGGGAAATTCTGAAGTTTTTTAACAGTGTGAACTTTTTTTTCATGTGGAAATTGTTTATAAATCGCACAAATTACAATCAGCAAGTAGCACATTCAATTAAACATGAACTTTTGAAGTAAAAAAAAAAAAAAGTATTGGAAAACACCACACTATAATCTACTTTATTTACTTTGAAACATCTATTTTTACAGCAAAATAATGTTTTTTAGGATTGGTCTGGGAAATATTGCTTCAGACATTTCTATTAGAGTTCAAGAGAAACGGCTAGTAATATTGAATTAAAAGGGAAATTCTGAAGTTTTTCAACAGTGTGAACTTTTTTTTCATGTGGAAATTGTTTATAAATCGCACAAATTACAATCAGCAAGTAGCACATTCAATTAAACATGAACTTTTGAAGTAAAAAAAAAAAAAAGTATTGGAAAACACCACACTATAATCTACTTTATTTACTTTGAAACATCTATTTTTACAGCAAAATAATGTTTTTTAGGAGTGCACCACATCAACTAACCCAGTGCTAACTGGATGTGAATACTCTTACACATTTAAAATGCCATTTTACTCTTTGGTCAGCATTCACTTTAACACTGGAGCACATCTCACGAGTAAATACTATTTCAGTATTTCTACTGAATGTTTAATTTAGTGCATTACTTGCCATATCTTTGTAATTCCTGAAATTTACTATGAATTGCTGACTAATCATTTTTATTTTTTGTCCACACAGTTTAAAATGAGCCAGACAGTGTTGGTTTAAGTCGGTGTGTGAACTGTAATGGTGAAGCTGACTGAAAAGTGTTTCCTCCGTGTCCTGAGTGATGGCCAGACTCTCGGATGTGAGAAACGTTTACAATCACAGCACGTAACACAAATGTGTTTACAGAGGTCACGTCCTCACCATCCTCGGTCCTCTCGCAGTCCCTCTCCACAGCGGTAGCAGAACAGATCTAGCGTGAGCAGAGAGAGACACACATTATTCAGCCGATCCGCTCCGCAGACGCCTGCTTCAACAGTGCAGCGAGCGGCTCCTACCTTTCCCTCGGCCACGGCCTGCGTTTGGGCAGTTCTTGATCCAGTGGCCCGTGCGGCCGCAACCGAAGCACTCGCTGCTGCTCATAGCCTCCGACTGAGAGAGAAAACAGTACACGTCATGCAAATACACCGCTTTATGCTTTGAATGAAGCTGCAGTCTCGACACCAGAGTTATGTCAGATATTCAACGAACACAAACCCAGAAGGTGGCGCTTCCAAGTCAAGTCATTAAAGAAACCGGTACACAACTAGCCGAGCACATTTTGCTCAACAGTTGTAGACCAGCTGAGGTATTTATGCATTCACTTTTCAAGGCCAGCATCACGGCTGTTTTCATGGCCATCTCCAAACAGATTACACAAGGTGTACTCTTAACAAAAAGCTATAAAAGTCATTTCAGATCTACACTAGCCACAAACTCTCAAATACATTCAGGGGATACATTTTTAAACAAATCGGTTAAACACACCTCTGAATGAAAACAGTGGCTATTTACATTAAAAACAGTACAATCCAATTAAATACGCTCCATGGTCATTATGGTTTGGCAAGACAGACATGATGGTGATTCTTCACCTTTTAATAAATATCCATGTGTGCTGCGAGTCTTGTATGACCTACACACTGTACAAAACTACTTTGTGAACCAGTTGATAAACCGGTTTAAGTGCATATGACTAGCATTTGCTTTAAATGAATTTGCATTGATAAAGAAGAAAAGCTTTTGCAGTTTTGTAATAAAACGGAATTTCCCAAACAGCTCGTTGCATGGTACAGGTATGTTAATAAAAGTCTTGAACACGAGTTTTAGTGGTTAACATTGCGGCCGGTAACTTTCTCTGACTTTAGAGAGAGACGGTTCTGTCTTGGATGAGCTCTTGGTTTGAGAACCGCTCGATTCATCCGATTCCTTGGTTTTGTTTTTGCTCTTTTTATGTCTTTCTCTTTTTCTCAAAATAGCAAACAAACTCTATAGATTATCTTTCTTTTTCTGATGAAATCACTTAGTATCTCCTCGTGGAATATTCAAGGTCTGAACTCCTCAGTATTTGGCCTGAAGAGTAAAAATCCAGACTTTACTCAGCAAGCACAGTCTGTCTGTCTCTCACACACACTCACACACACTCAGCGAGCACAGTCTGTCTGTAGAGACGGGCCGGCGCAGACAAACCTGGCTCTCCCGTGAGGAGAGACTCTGCTCCCACTGCAGTCTGGGAGAGATAGAGACAGAGCTGCACTTCCTCACAGAATGCCCCAAATACCTGACCATCAGAGACCACTATTACCCCAAAATAAACTAAATATTTCCCCAATTTAATAGTTGCACCCCAACCGAAAAACTCACCTTCATTCTTGGTGAAAAATCTAAGTGTGCAAATATAGTTACATTATTAAAAAAGTGATTTTCCGGGTCAATATCATTTTCAATCTCGTACATTTTATGATCTGTGTGATTGAAGGATTTAAAATAAAATTTTTCGTACTTACATTGACATTGTATGTGGTCAGACACACAGTCCATTTGCATATTGACCAACTCCCCATCATCAACATCTCTAAATGGAAGCAAAAGTTCCTTATCAATGTCCATCATATCGATAGTCCATATGAATAATCCTCCACACAATCTTATCCATTCTGATCCAATTCTTAACGATCTCTTACAGTGTGTTCTTTGGCTTCTTTAGATGATCCATTTAACCGTGACACAGTCTTCACTTATCCATAATGATCAAGTTCTTGGAGTTCTCTTATTGCGTAAACTTTGGCTTCTTCGGGTGTTCCATTTAGCCGTATCATCACTTTACAATTTCTTGTCCATGTAGCTTGTATCTTGTTCTGTTTCCTCAGAATGCGTGCATGTCTAGCAATATCAGCGTTCTTTTTTGTAAGATGATCATTCAGGTATCAGGCTACATGGTTGAGTATATAAGCATAAGTACATAGTGTATCATTTGGAACGCAGTTATACTGTAACAGGCCCCCAGACGAGTCCAAACCGTGGGCTATTAAATGTAAACAGGGCTTGCCATATCACGCGACTGCTGACTAGCGCTAGTTTGTCGCGCGCTGCAACGCTGAAGAAAGCGATGCCGTCACACTGTAACGTGACGCTTCCCTTGCGCGATAATCATGGCGGATCAAGAGTTCAGCAGCTGTCTGTGGTGAGTAAAGCCCTGTCTTCTCCTCGCAGCTGAGCTGAGCTGGTCCTTCGAGGCGAAGGGCAGATGTTTGCTGCTGTGTTGAGATGTTATAGTTGGTCTGTGTGCAGAGAGTGCGCACATCTGTGTTTGTAACACGGCTCTTTGTTGTTGGCGTGTAGTTACCGCGCGTGCTGTTACCAAACAGACTAAAGTTACTAAAGGACACAGCTTAAGTGTATTTCTAAACCACGCGATGCTTTGGTATCTTGGTGTATTTTCATCACCGTAAGCCGGTTTGTGCTGTTCTGCATTTACTGCACACATGCTCAATCTGCAGACAAGCCTGCTGCTGTTATTGTGCTTGATCTGATCGTCTACTGGCTTTAATTGTGCTGCTGGACCCTCATCATACTTTCAGATGCAGGCCTTTTAGAATATTAGAATATTGCGTTTTAGAATCATTCTTTCAGATCCATAAACGTGGGCTCATTTAGTAGTCCTGTTATAGCAACAGTCTGGTTATTTGAGCCATGTTTCAAGAATTTGTACAGATATAGATAACATCAAATGTGTTACTTAAAGCTTTGGGATGCCATTAAATGGTAACTAGTGGCCCAAACAGTATTTTCACACTTAATGGATTGCACAAAGACATTCACACGTTTATATAGCATGATATTATACATGCACACATGCACACAGCTTGTAGGGTAGCTTCAAGATATTATAATATTTCTGACAGCGTGTTTGTTCAGTCTTAACCTAACATTGAGATGCGTTGCTCGCCATATATGCATGCAGCAGAGAGAGATATTAGTGCTGTGCATGAGTTACAGTGTGTGCTTTACTGCAGAGTAACCAGTGTTTCTCCCAGAGCTGCTCAGACCTGCTCCACAGGTTTCTGATGTCAGGAGCTCTGTGAGCGAGACCGGGGCATATCCGTGGCTCATGCAGAACACCTCAGTCGTGGCTGTGAATGCTGTGTGAGCGCATGAGCTGTGATGGCTTGCTTCCAGACGCTGCTCTAACAGCTGCTGATGAGGTGTCTGTCACCGTCTGACCTGATGATGTTTCATGCAACACAAACCTGTGGCCTGCTGGACACGTCATCAGATCAGAATATTATTATTATTATGATAATAATAATATTGTGCTGTTGCTCTGAATGATTGAGGACCCTGTCAGAGTTATTTGTGCTTGACGCGCGTCTTGAGCTGTAGTAGAAAGACTGCATTACATGACTTTAGATTAGAGAAATGTTTATAAACTGTATGCATGCTGTTTTGGAGGGTTATTGCTGCGAGTCACGTAGTCTCATTACAAATACAATACCCACTTCAGAGGTGCCGCTACTATATGAGAGTAATGGAAGTAGGAAGTTGTTTTCTTTTGAAATCATATATTATAATTCATGACTTGTGTGATACTTGTCTGTTAAAGATTTGTTTTACTCACTCTCAGGTCATCAGTTTCTTCCTCAGGTTTGTAGAAATGTAGCATTGCATCAGTGTCTCAGCAATGGATGCTCTGCAGTGAATGGGTGCCGTCAGAACGAGAGCTGATAAAAACATCACAATAATCCACAGCACTCCAGTCCATCAGTGAACATCTGAAGAAGACAAAAGCTGAAACTAATCCAGCATTAAGATGCTTTTAAACGCTTTTAAACGCTTTTAAACAGCTCTAAACACATATGTGTTTTTAGAAAGTGAGAATGTTCACTGTCAGAGTGTTATTATGGACTCTATGTATTTGAGTTAAAAACGTCTTAATGCTGGATGTGTTTCAGCTTTTGTCTTCTCCAGATGTTAACTGATGGACTGGAGTGCTGTGGATTACTTGTGATGTTTTTATCAGCTCTCATTCTGACGGCACCCATTCACTGCAGAGCATCCACTGCTGAGACACTGATGCAGTGCTACATTTCTCCAAACCTGATGAAGAAACACACTCATCCTGATCTGGGATGGACTGAGAGTGACATTCTCATGTCTGTGTTAAGGGCCATTGTTTTGTGTGTTTGTGAGGTGGGTCGGGTCATTTGTATTTGTTCTGTTCTCATGCTAGATTGCAGAAGTCTGCTGCCCGCCGTGATGGAGCATCTTCAAGGGTCCTGGAAAAACATCAGTCATGGCTTTGGGTGCAAAGACTGTGTGTTTGAAGATTCCTGCATGCCTCCCACCATTCTCAAGAACGTCCCGTACCGGAGATTATCCGACGGCAGAATCCCAGACTCGAAAACTAGCTGCACGATCCGCGTCTACCTGCCCAACAAGCAGCGGACTGTGGTAACAAGAACTTAATCAAACACTTTCAGTGAATGTTTGACACAAGATGATGAGCGGGATATTATCCGGCTGCACGTTTGTAAGCAGGTGGTTTATACAAGGGTCAAACACATTTAAACGTCTGCATCAAAAGTAATTTTATATGCACAGAAAGCATACTAAAGTGTCTACTTTTAAGGTTTCAAATACGTTTTGGGAGAATAAAATGTCAAAATGTGGGTGAAATAATGTACCATTGTCATTCAGTGTAACACTTATTTATATAGAAACTGAAACAACATGCATACTCTGACCTGTACATATTAAAATATATAAAAGAATAAGTGAGCATACTACATTTTATTGCATTTAAAGTTAAAGTAAATTCTTGCTGACAAATGAACAAAATGGGATCGTGGCAACAAAGTTTATAAATGTAAAATTACAAGCATGTAGTGTTTGGGGTAAAATTAGTCTTTTAATAAGTCATAAACTGATTGTTGTGGTAGATATGCCTCACAAGATTGTTACGCTGAATGACATTTTAGTGGCTGTTTTCTGTAAATCATGGTAAAAAAAGTGATATTTATTTTTTTCACAGAATAAACTACTGAATTAAATGGTAGGCTTTCTCACTTTCTAAAAACAACAAGTCAAAGCTGTATTACACTTCATTATTTTGATGTTTGAAAACCTTGCTAGTTGATATTACGCTAAAGATGCAGCCTGAAATATTCTTTTTGTAATCGTGTCCTCATCTACACAACCTTAACATGCTTGTCCATGGCTTATTCTCATTTTAAGTGATGAGATACTGAAATTGTGTGTTGCTAGGTGAATGTGCGAGCGGGTATGACGCTGCGCAGCTGCCTCATCAAAGCGCTGAAGGTCCGAGGGCTTCAGCCAGAATGCTGTGCGGTTTTCAAGCTCCATCGAGAACATTCGTTGTAAGTCGTGGCATATGAGAAAACAGAAGAAGAAGAAAAGCGTGTTGTGATCTTGCAGTCTGAACACTAACTGTGATATAATTGACAGCGATGTTTATCGCCTTTTCTTCACTGTTTGCACACAGCTATCAACATGCAGTGCCAACAAAACTTGTATTGAAGCCAAATTAATTTGGTATTTTTACCACTGATGAACTGAAGAAGACGCTGTTCTCTATTGACTCTGTATAACAACAACAATTTAAAGCAGTATTACACTTATTGTTTTTATGCTTAAACCCTTTTTCGTCTTTGACCCATGTACGACTTTGTTAAAAAATTGTTATTTTGTGTTTAACAGCTATAATAATCCAGCGCCAGTTGGTTTAATCTCGGCCCTGATAGTCAGTTCAATGCTCATTTCATGAAAGCACACTATTCTTTGTGTTCAGTAAGAAGTTGCGTATGGATTGGAGCACTGACTCTAGCTCGCTGGTCGGAGAGGAGCTGCTGGTGGAAGTCTTAGATCACGTACCCCTGACTACGCACAATTTTGTGAGTTCCCATAATGTGTTCAAACTGAGCTCCGGCTGTCTTCACTACTCTAACCACCGTCTCCTTCACAGGTACGGAAAACGTTCTTGAAGTTGGCCTTTTGTGACATCTGTCAGAAGTTTCTTTTGCACGGCTTCAGATGTCAGACGTGCGGCTACAAGTTTCACGAGCACTGCAGCACCAAAGTGCCCACGATGTGTGTGGACTGGAGCAACATCCGCCAGCTCCTGTGAGTGTTTATCAACCTAATCACGCTCAAGAGCGAGCCAGCTGTCGTCTACACGGGGCACAAATATCAGGACTTTTAATGCTAAACATTGATTTCTGGGCCTGGAAAAGGCATAGGAGCCATGCTTGAATTGCTGACTCGGTGTGATATGAGTTTCATCGCATTTTCATATCGAACAGGATTTTTCCCCCTCTGTTGAAAAGATAGACATGTAGATGTAGTTCAAGAGAAGTCTCTTGATGCACAGAAAGAGTTTGCATAGAGGCCCTCACACTGTGAGCGGTGTAGATGTCTATCAGTGAAAATCAGGTGATTCACGGCACAAAGGTGCATTCTTCTGCTGCTCGTGCTGCGGGAATTCATCACAAAAAATATACAAACATAATGTTTTCTAAGATTATATGCCAATGATTATAACCCTTGTTAGTCCATCTCAAATGTGAGCCTGCAGCACAAAAGCAGTGTTGAGTCGCTGGGGGATATTTGTAGCAATAGCCAACAATACATTGTATGGGTCACAATTATACATTTCTCTTTTATGCCAAAAATCATTAGGATATTAAGTAAAGATCATGTTCCATGAAGATATTTAGTAAATGTCCTACTGTAAATATATCTAAACTTAATGTTTGATTAGTAATATGCATTGCTAAGAACTTCATTTGAACAACTTTAAAGATGATTTTCTCAATATTTAGATTTTTTTGCACCCTCAGATTCCAGATTTCCAAATATTGTCCTATCCTAACAAACCATACATCAATGGAAAGCTGTTTTCTGTAAATCATGGTAAAAAAAGTGATATTTATTTTTTTCACAGAATAAACTACTGAATTAAACGGTAGGCTTTCTCACTTTCTAAAAACAACAAGTCAAAGCTGTATTACACTTCATTATTTTGATGTTTGAAAACCTTGCTAGTTGATATTACGCTAAAGATGCAGCCTGAAATATTCTTTTTGTAATCGTGTCCTCATCTACACAACCTTAACATGCTTGTCCATGGCTTATTCTCATTTTAAGTGATGAGATACTGAAATTGTGTGTTGCTAGGTGAATGTGCGAGCGGGTATGACGCTGCGCAGCTGCCTCATCAAAGCGCTGAAGGTCCGAGGGCTTCAGCCAGAATGCTGTGCGGTTTTCAAGCTCCATCGAGAACATTCGTTGTAAGTCGTGGCATATGAGAAAACAGAAGAAGAAGAAAAGCGTGTTGTGATCTTGCAGTCTGAACACTAACTGTGATATAATTGACAGCGATGTTTATCGCCTTTTCTTCACTGTTTGCACACAGCTATCAACATGCAGTGCCAACAAAACTTGTATTGAAGCCAAATTAATTTGGTATTTTTACCACTGATGAACTGAAGAAGACGCTGTTCTCTATTGACTCTGTATAACAACAACAATTTAAAGCAGTATTACACTTATTGTTTTTATGCTTAAACCCTTTTTCGTCTTTGACCCATGTACGACTCACAGTGAATACTTATGAAAATTGTTATTTTGTGTTTAACAGCTATAATAATCCAGCGCCAGTTGGTTTAATCTCGGCCCTGATAGTCAGTTCAATGCTCATTTCATGAAAGCACACTATTCTTTGTGTTCAGTAAGAAGTTGCGTATGGATTGGAGCACTGACTCTAGCTCGCTGGTCGGAGAGGAGCTGCTGGTGGAAGTCTTAGATCACGTACCCCTGACTACGCACAATTTTGTGAGTTCCCATAATGTGTTCAAACTGAGCTCCGGCTGTCTTCACTACTCTAACCACCGTCTCCTTCACAGGTACGGAAAACGTTCTTGAAGTTGGCCTTTTGTGACATCTGTCAGAAGTTTCTTTTGCACGGCTTCAGATGTCAGACGTGCGGCTACAAGTTTCACGAGCACTGCAGCACCAAAGTGCCCACGATGTGTGTGGACTGGAGCAACATCCGCCAGCTCCTGTGAGTGTTTATCAACCTAATCACGCTCAAGAGCGAGCCAGCTGTCGTCTACACGGGGCACAAATATCAGGACTTTTAATGCTAAACATTGATTTCTGGGCCTGGAAAAGGCATAGGAGCCATGCTTGAATTGCTGACTCGGTGTGATATGAGTTTCATCGCATTTTCATATCGAACAGGATTTTTCCCCCTCTGTTGAAAAGATAGACATGTAGATGTAGTTCAAGAGAAGTCTCTTGATGCACAGAAAGAGTTTGCATAGAGGCCCTCACACTGTGAGCGGTGTAGATGTCTATCAGTGAAAATCAGGTGATTCACGGCACAAAGGTGCATTCTTCTGCTGCTCGTGCTGCGGGAATTCATCACAAAAAATATACAAACATAATGTTTTCTAAGATTATATGCCAATGATTATAACCCTTGTTAGTCCATCTCAAATGTGAGCCTGCAGCACAAAAGCAGTGTTGAGTCGCTGGGGGATATTTGTAGCAATAGCCAACAATACATTGTATGGGTCACAATTATACATTTCTCTTTTATGCCAAAAATCATTAGGATATTAAGTAAAGATCATGTTCCATGAAGATATTTAGTAAATGTCCTACTGTAAATATATCTAAACTTAATGTTTGATTAGTAATATGCATTGCTAAGAACTTCATTTGAACAACTTTAAAGATGATTTTCTCAATATTTAGATTTTTTTGCACCCTCAGATTCCAGATTTCCAAATATTGTCCGATCCTAACAAACCATACAGCAATGGAAAGAGTATTTATTCGGCTTTCAGATGATGCATACATCTCAATTTTGAAAAATTGACCTTTAAGACTGGTTTTGTGCTCCAGGGTCACATATGAGACGTTGTGTAGTCGGGAGAGTATCACGCAGTCTTTAAGATCCTTGTATGGCGGTCTGTTTTCCAGGCTGTTCCCCACTCCTGGAGAGAACGGGACTCCGTCGCTGCCTCCTCTCTCATCCCGGCGCATGCACAACTCTAAATTCTCCTTCAGGTAAAGATAGCCTGTCTCTGTTTACCTCACATGCACTGAACTCGCTTGACAAGTCCTCTGAAAACCAAAGACTCCACCTCGTTCGGTTTCTTCCTTGTATTTAGGGATTATGTTTGTAGTTCCTTGTATTAAAGCGTTTCAGGTGATCGTTTGCTGGTAATAATGTTTTACAGAGCGCTGCTGAGATGGTGTTTGCCAGAAACCCAATAGGACTTTTGCAGAAAATAAGCTCTGGGACCAACACAAGTTTAGGATGCTCACTTTGTTTTGTTCTTTAAACCAAAAACCAATTGAAAAACCCATTGACTTCAGGCCGATGTAACCGGAAGAGCTCAAATGCAGCTTGTTTCTGGGTTTTGGTCTACACCCATACAGTCAAACCTAAATTCATTCAGACACCTTCGACATTTCTCACATTATCACAGTTTATTCGCTATAGTGTAGAAAATGGTAATAAAATATGACAAGAACTCCCAGCGTGTCAGAACAAATTCATCTTGATGTCAGATAACTGTGATAGAAAGGTATGTAATAGATTAAACTGTTAGCTGTTAAATTTAAGAACACCATTAGATAAAACCAATTCAGCTCAAACAGTTACCAAGCGATGCTTGATTTTGTTCAGTCTGTGGCGTAAAAAGCTTGCATTAGCAATGAAAGAAAAGCACTTAAATCACGCTCGGCTCAAAGTAAATCATTGTAGTCCCAAATGTTACTGGTAGCCCACTGTTTTGTGGTATAATATGTCACAGTTTACTTTATTTAGCTATCCTCACTTACAGAAATGAACTATAGTTAAAATGATTTGGTGTCTGAATAATGTTTGGTTGAAGCAGTAAGCCCCGTGAAGCCGTGGTTTACAGTGAGTTTATAACAGCTCTGCTTCACGTTGTGCCTAACAACGCCCCGTAGCCGTTATAAACTCACTGTAAACCACGGCTTCACGAGGGTTATTGCTTTTATAAAACGGTTATTCCATATACGTAGTAAGGTTTCACAGAATAAAACAGAGCAAATAAAGTGTAATGATATTAATAAAACAGTATTCTTCCACCAAACAATGTAGCTCCTCAGAAACAGTTGTGGTTGCTACAAAGTGGTTGCCGAGCAACACACAAACGTAAACAAAGGTGTGTGTTACTTTGTAGCGTCATTTACAACAGCTTCGAACGCGGCTCAGCCAATCAGAGCCAAGCACCGGAACTCTCCGCTTTATCATTGACTGTACATCACCCCTGCAGCAGAGTGTTATGTTATAAAGACGATGCTCAGACAGATCTGGGTCTGAACTCCTGCTGACGCACAAACCCTTCTCAGCCCCTATCACAGATACTCCACGCCCAACGCTTTAAGCTACATCAGCCCCATGCCGTGCGCTGGCGTGTCTCTCAGTCGTAAAGTGCTGTCCACATCCACTCCTAACGTGCACATGGTGAGCACGCTCCACGAGACTGCAGCGTTTCAGGTGACCGCGCTCGCACTCTCCTAACTTCAGCTTCTCTCTAAACTTCCATATGCTAAAGTAGTGCTTCCCTCTGTCTCCATAGGAAGCCTTGGGGCGAGACGAGTCAGGTGAGGGCTTTTTCAGACTTCTTCCTCAGATTTCCTAGCAAAGCTAAGGCAGAAGTGTGTTCTTCTCACACATCCCATCCCACTCCTCCGCAGGGAGCCCGACGGACTGCTCCAGAACCCCGGCTCCGGCGCACAGGGAGAAAGCACCTTCGAGCAGCACTCAGGAGAAACGCCTCGTAAGTGCCACGTGAAAAACCAGAAGCTCCCGGCGCATGCACAACTCTAAATTCTCCTTCAGGTAAAGATAGCCTGTCTCTGTTTACCTCACATGCACTGAACTCGCTTGACAAGTCCTCTGAAAACCAAAGACTCCACCTCGTTCGGTTTCTTCCTTGTATTTAGGGATTATGTTTGTAGTTCCTTGTATTAAAGCGTTTCAGGTGATCGTTTGCTGGTAATAATGTTTTACAGAGCGCTGCTGAGATGGTGTTTGTGTCGGCCAGCTTTATGTTAGCCTCACACTGGTTCCTTTGCCAGAAACCCAATAGGACTTTTGCAGAAAATAAGCTCTGGGACCAACACAAGTTTAGGATGCTCACTTTGTTTTGTTCTTTAAACCAAAAACCAATAGAAAAACCCATTGACTTCAGGCCGATGTAACCGGAAGAGCTCAAATGCAGCTTGTTTCTGGGTTTTGGTCTACACCCATACAGTCAAACCTAAATTCATTCAGACACCTTCGACATTTCTCACATTATCACAGTTTATTCGCTATAGTGTAGAAAATGGTAATAAAATATGACAAGAACTCCCAGCGTGTCAGAACAAATTCATCTTGATGTCAGATAACTGTGATAGAAAGGTATGTAATAGATTAAACTGTTAGCTGTTAAATTTAAGAACACCATTAGATAAAACCAATTCAGCTCAAACAGTTACCAAGCGATGCTTGATTTTGTTCAGTCTGTGGCGTAAAAAGCTTGCATTAGCAATGAAAGAAAAGCACTTAAATCACGCTCGGCTCAAAGTAAATCATTGTAGTCCCAAATGTTACTGGTAGCCCACTGTTTTGTGGTATAATATGTCACAGTTTACTTTATTTAGCTATCCTCACTTACAGAAATGAACTATAGTTAAAATGATTTGGTGTCTGAATAATGTTTGGTTGAAGCAGTAAGCCCCGTGAAGCCGTGGTTTACAGTGAGTTTATAACGGCTACGGGGCGTTGTTAGGCACAACGTGAAGCAGAGCTGTTATAAACTCACTGTAAACCACGGCTTCACGAGGGTTATTGCTTTTATAAAACGGTTATTCCATATACGTAGTAAGGTTTCACAGAATAAAACAGAGCAAATAAAGTGTAATGATATTAATAAAACAGTATTCTTCCACCAAACAATGTAGCTCCTCAGAAACAGTTGTGGTTGCTACAAAGTGGTTGCCGAGCAACACACAAACGTAAACAAAGGTGTGTGTTACTTTGTAGCGTCATTTACAACAGCTTCGAACGCGGCTCAGCCAATCAGAGCCAAGCACCGGAACTCTCCGCTTTATCATTGACTGTACATCACCCCTGCAGCAGAGTGTTATGTTATAAAGACGATGCTCAGACAGATCTGGGTCTGAACTCCTGCTGACGCACAAACCCTTCTCAGCCCCTATCACAGATACTCCACGCCCAACGCTTTAAGCTACATCAGCCCCATGCCGTGCGCTGGCGTGTCTCTCAGTCGTAAAGTGCTGTCCACATCCACTCCTAACGTGCACATGGTGAGCACGCTCCACGAGACTGCAGCGTTTCAGGTGACCGCGCTCGCACTCTCCTAACTTCAGCTTCTCTCTAAACTTCCATATGCTAAAGTAGTGCTTCCCTCTGTCTCCATAGGAAGCCTTGGGGCGAGACGAGTCAGGTGAGGGCTTTTTCAGACTTCTTCCTCAGATTTCCTAGCAAAGCTAAGGCAGAAGTGTGTTCTTCTCACACATCCCATCCCACTCCTCCGCAGGGAGCCCGACGGACTGCTCCAGAACCCCGGCTCCGGCGCACAGGGAGAAAGCACCTTCGAGCAGCACTCAGGAGAAACGCCTCGTAAGTGCCACGTGAAAAACCAGAAGCCAAATCAAAACACAGGAATAGATCATCATCAGAGTAGTCTCTTGCTGTTCTAGATCAGCAGGATTTCACTATACCGAGACCCGTCTGTCTGCTGTTTCTGGTCTGTAGTGTCCCCGAGAGAAGAGAGATTCCAGCTATTACTGGGAGATCGAGGCCACGGAGGTGCTTCTGCTCTCCAGGATCGGCTCTGGGCCTTTTGGCACGGTTTACAAAGCGAAGTGGCACGGTAAGAGTGATGAATGGCATGCAGCTGATGTGTGCTCTCACTAGCCAATGGGTTTCCATCCAGAGATGCGAATCTAACTTGAAACACTGCATGGAACATTTGCGGATAAGCACCGTTTCCATCCAACGAGTCAAAGAGAACAAAATCACTTCCTGGTAAACTGCCACTGAATATCACAAAGAAAAGTAGGAGAAGCCACTGAATAAAATATAATAAATGACCTTAACAATATTTCAGATGCTCTGGAATGAGATGAGAGTGAGGCTTTGCGTAAAGACTTTTTTGATGCGCATGGAGGAATTTATTCAGCTAGTACGTTTCCATCTCCCGTTATTCACATCGACTCTTTTTCGCAGTTAAAAACCACCTCAAGCGAGCGTCAAAGCTTTTTTGCGAATTATGGGATTTTTATTAGAAATTTGGCTTTTCCGTCAATCTTTTCTCATGACATACTTGAAAATGCGCATTAAAACAAATAAAACAACAGAGCTAAAGCACAGCTTCTGTGGTGTGCGGAGTGCATGTAAGGGCTATGTTACAATGCCATCAAACACATCCAGTCAGAACATTTAACTCTATGAAGCTGTTTGTAATGAATAATCTAATCTTTATTACCAAGTTCTGTGTTGGCCAAAATGATTAAGACACTAGTGTTTTCAGCAGCTAAAAATGGTCTTAATGGTTACAATTAATGGCCAAATGAATGTCTGGAAATATAAACTGATATTTCCTCCTGACACGCTACAGCAAAAGATAGAAATAACTGACTTAAACCATTATTAGCTGCTGGAAATACCAGCTGTGCCACTGTAGGTCACTGAATTATTAATAAATAAACATTCCTAGATGGTTATGTCATATTTAAGATATTTGTGGGGTGTATTTCAAGCAAAATTAAATAAAATCACTATATATTGATATATGCATGGCATGCAGGGGTAAAAATAAAATGAGATCACGATCACGAGTTAAGAATTAGTTCCCTTGACTTAATTAGTTCCCTTGTTTTAGGCAAGTCATGGCCACATTATACTACTTTATTTTAATTTAGTTCATTTGTGGCCACAGTTGACCTAAAACGAGGAAGCGAATTAATAAATAGTAGGAATGAATTCTTAACTCATGGCCTTGAGGACTGGTATTATTTTGCATGTTATGTGCGGGTCTCTGTTGTAATAATAATCTGAAATATTGTTAATAGGGATCCACTTAGAATGTGAATCTGAGTAGACAATTCGCTTTTATTGAAAGTTTCTCTGCATTTTCAGGCGATGTTGCGGTGAAGATTTTAAAGGTCAGGAATCCCACACCAGAGCAGCTACAGGCCTTTCGTAATGAAGTGGCTGTTCTCAGGTAAACCACAAAGAGAAGATTTGCGAGAAACACCATTGTTCTCCAGTGCTAGAGTGTGTTAAACACTGGCCAACTCTTTGTGGCTGTTACAGGAAGACCAGGCACGTCAATATCGTTCTGTTTATGGGATACATGACCAGGGCAAACTTGGCCATTGTGACGCAGTGGTGTGAAGGAAGCAGCCTCTACAAACATCTGCACGTGCAGGAGACCAGCTTCCAGATGCTGCAGCTGATGGACATCGCCAGACAGACGGCGCAGGGCATGGAGTGAGTGTTTACAGACAAACACACTAAACCAGCTGAGCCAGGTGTCTGCTCCTGATCTAAACCAGCCTTCTGCAGCCCTAAACGCTGTTATTTGCTGAATGCAGATTATAACACGAAACCAGCCAGATGCTCTCGTATGCTCGGGACAGGAAAATGAACAGGTGCATCGACTTCCTTACCTCAGCTGTGACGGTTAAAGGCTGTGCATCGACTGAATTAGCAGAATTTGGTGTAAATATTGAATTGATAGAAGATCGTGAACTTAGACAGCGACACAGACAAGGCGTCTGTCATCATCCTCGAGACCCACGAACAAAACGGCACAGAGTAAACGAAAATGCAGCTCAGCTAAAACCACGTATTGCAATGACAATATACACTACCAATCAGAAGTTTGGGCTCAAAAATGTGTTTTTTTTTTTTTTTTAAGAAATTAATAATATCCAGCAAGGGACTACTTAAATTTATCCAGACTTTTTCCAAATAAATGATATTTTATTTTCACTGTCTGTCCGTCCGACCGACCGACTGACCCTGGAGCACAAAACCAGTCATAAGGGTCAATTTTTTCAAATTGAGATGTATGCATCATCTGAAAGCTGAATAAATAATCTTTCCATTGATGTATGGTTTGTTAGGATCGCACAATATTTGAAAATCTGGAATCTGAGGGTGCAAAAAAATCTAAATATTGAGAAAATCATCTTTAAAGTTGTTCAAATGAAGTTCTTAGCAATGCATATTACTAATCAAACATTCAGTTTTGATATATTTACGGTAGGAGATTTACAAAATATCTTCATGGAACATGATCTTTACTTAATATCCTAATGATTTTTGGCATAAAAGAGAAATGTATAATTGTGCCCCATACAATGTATTGTTGGCTATTGCTACAAATATCCCCCAGCGACTCAACACTGCTTTTGTGCTGCAGGGACACATATAAATATATATACATTATATAATCTTTTGAACTGAAGGATCATGCGAAGACTGGAGTAATATTCAACTTTGATCAGCAATAAATTACAGTTTATCATCGGGTCACATAGAAAAGAAAATGGCAATTTTAACTGTAATAACATTTCACAATTTGACTTTTTTTTACTGTATTTTAATCAAATAAATGCAGCCTCTGTGAGCAGAGGAGACTTCTTTCCAAACATGAAACAATCTTACGGACCCGAACAGTTAACAGTGGTGGATTGATTATTGGCATCGATACTCTGATGCTTCATGATTGAGTTTCTCTCGAGTGTTTCTGGGCCTGTGGTAGACTGCAGAGCACAGCGTTCAGTCAGTGTTTAACAGATTTGTGTTTTGAGAGCATGATACTGTCAGCTATTTATAGAAATGGGACCAGCTTTTAAAATAGTACAGCATGCGGGTGTTGATATGTAAACTCAGAGGTGGTTTTGTTAGTTAACGCCTGCCTGGTTTCTCTATCAGCATGATGATGACGACATGAATGATTTCTAATAACCCTTCATGTCTTTTGTCTTCTAGTTACTTGCATGCAAAGAACATCATCCATCGAGACATGAAGTCGAACAGTATCTTTGAGGTGTTTCTGCACGGCACTGATTGAAGAGGTGAAGCATCGCTGCCACGAGTGCCTCTGTAGAGACGGGTTATTTGTGAAGCTTGTTGTTTTTGTGCTCGTGTGAATACAGTGATGAAGCTGTCATGAATTCCCTTAACGGAAGCTCAGATATCTTCCTGCATGAAGGGTTGACGGTGAAGATCGGTGATTTTGGTCTGGCCACAGTGAAAGCGCAGTGGAGCGGCTCTCATCGAGTGGAGCAGCCATCCGGCTCTGTTCTGTGGATGGTGCGTTAGAGCAAGAGTTCAGCCAGAAACAAACATCAGCTGGAAATGTGCTCGCTCTCAGTCCATCCCAGATCAGGATGAGTGTGTTTCTTCATCAGGTTTGTAGAAATGTAGCACTGCATCAGTGTCTCAGCAATGGATGCTCTGCAGTGAATGGGTGCCGTCAGAATGAGAGTCCAAACAGCTGATAAAAACCAAGTATAACCAAAATACGAGTCCACGATCCATAATAACACTTCCTCCAGTGAAAAAGTCCATCCTGGTGCTTGATCTGTGCAGATTTTTCTCCTGATTCACACCAGAACACTTTTTCACTGTCAGAGTGTTATTATGGATTATGGACTCATATTTGAGTTAAAAGCATCTTAATGCTGGATGTGTTTCAGCTTTTGTCTTCTCCAGATGTTCACTGATGGACTGGAGTGCTGTGGATTATTGTGATGTTATTATCAGCTGTTTGGACTCTCATTCTGACGGCACCCATTCACTGCAGAGCATCCATTGCTGAGACACTGATGCAATGCTACATTTCTACAAACCTGATGAAGGAACACACTCATCCTGATCTGGGATGACCAGAGTACATTTTAAGAAATAGTGTTTTGTGTAATACTCTCGCTGATGTTTTGTGTTTAGGCTCCTGAGGTCATCCGGATGCAGGACAGTAATCCGCACAGTTTTCAGTCGGATGTGTACTCGTACGGGATCGTCCTGTACGAGCTGATGACGGGAGAACTGCCTTACTCTGGGATTGGAAATAGAGATCAGGTACAGTCTATAGATATCACATGAGCAGTGCTTACATTTAACTCTTTCCCTGCCGGCCACCGCCAGCGTTTCTGCTGAGTTTCACTCAAATTTCACGGCCCCCAGAATATCTTGTTGTATGAATATCTGAACATGCAATGCATCAAATAAAGATCAGACCCTCTACTTACCGTTTTATTCTAGCTTCAAGCATTGTCTTTTTTTTTTTTTTTTTATCAACGCTTGAATGTAGGTAGGCTTCATTTAAGCAAACAGCTGAGAAAATCATTTTTATCAGATAATGTTACTGAATATGATCCAGATGTAGTATCAAAGCAAAGCTGCAGTAGATGGCTTCCATCAGCGCTCCCAAAGCTTCACACTTTCTGGATCCACATTTCACTCGCTAACATTAGGCAGTTTTCATTTATACGCGGTTAGTGTTAATGATCGCATTGTTTTTCATACGCATCGTTTCTGTGTCTTCATCTCCTGTGTTTTTGATCGAGTGATTCTAGACCCATTCAGGAGATGCGTAACAGCGCCCCCTAGCATACAACAGCGAGAGCACGGAACATTCTGTGATTGGCCGGGAGAGTGTTAATCTGGATGATGTAATCCGATTCCAAAAGTGAAGTAGTTGTAATGAGATTATATTACATTTCAATCAGATTACACTTTTTTTTTTTTTTGATGACATATTATTCGTACAATAGCAATAATTATTATTAATTCAATTAAAATCACAAACCTCAGTTTGAGGTCTTTCAGTCTTAAAGGTCCCATGGCATGAAAATGTCACTTTATGAGGTTTTTTAACATTAATATGAGTTCTCCTAGCCTGCCTATGGTCCCCCAGTGGCTAGAAATGGCGATAGGTGTAAACCGAGCCCTGGGTATCCTGCTTCGCCTTTGAGAAAATGAAAGCTCAGACGGCCCAATCTGGAATCTTCCCTAAATGTCGTCATACGGGGAAAGGTTACCTCCCCTTTCTCTGCTTTGCCCGCCCAGAGAATTTGGCCCGCCCATGAGAAAATGAGCTACTACCGTGCGAGGCGAGCGCAATATATTTTTTTCCTCGAGAGACATCATGGCTTGCAAACGAGCGAAGCATGGCAGTTGCCCCGCCTCTCTCCTCCTCATTAGCATTTAAAGCTACAGACACAGAAATGGCACTAAGGAAAGCTCATTGTGGGACTGGCTCGTAGTGGCTGAAATTCTGCACCAAGGCTGAATTTCGGGAAAGAGACTTCAGATACAGTACTAGAGATCACTTAGGCCTATATAAAAGCATCTAAAAAGCAGCATGTCATGGGACCTTTAATGTAATGTTTAATGCACTTCATGTTATTAATAACAACAAATGGAATATATTTCCTTTATTTTTGTATTAGTATATCAATATGCTATTTTTGGTAATAAATTCAGTTACTAACTACAATTTTAGTCGTGTAATTTGGAATCGGTAACGGATTAAAGTTTGTAAGTAATCTCCTCGGATCTGCACATGATCATGGACATTACACCTGTTTAGATGCACAACATATTATGTATTTGACTTTAAACAATATTTTAAGATTTCTTTTCAACAATATAATTAGAAATAGTTGTTAAGATTGTCAGGAAGAATGTTAAGATTTTGTGACATGATCAAGTTCATGTGAAGCATTCTTCCTCAAATAGTGAAGTAGATCCTAATGGAATGGACTTGATGATTTTATGTTTTTTAATCTTTCAGTTTTGAGGCTCTTTAGTTAAGGCTAGGCATGAGAGAGTGTGTTTAGCTCCGTGTTCACAGCGGCGGGTCTCTGAAATGTGTTTGGCAGTGATCAGGAGGTCCGTCTGAAGGCACACTCGCTGCTTTGTTGTTCAGGAGAGGTGTGCTGTTGCGTTCCCAAGAGCCATATCATGTACAGCCTCCCACAACACTGACTTCTGCACAGACAAGCGTTCACAGAGTGTTCCTGTTGTAGTTCTGAGTAAAGCCAGCTGTTCCCTGTCGCGCTGCATGCAGATCATCTTCATGGTGGGGAGAGGCTATCTGACCCCTGACCTCAGTAAACTCTACAAGAGCTGTCCCAAAGCCATGAAGAGACTGGTGGCCGACTGCATGCAGAAGTCCAGAGACGACCGGCCGCTGTTTCCACAGGTCCGTGATCACCGTCTTTACTCTAGCACGATCACTTTACACTGGATGCATATGCTATGCGGTTGCTAGGGTGTTGCTATGCTTTACCATCTTGTCTATATATGTATAGTAAAGTGTTTGTATTCTTAAAAAATATTTCAAATGCAGTGAATTTGTTGACAGTTTTGTAGGATGTGCCCAAAACTGATAGATGAAATACAACCGCAATCATCACAAAACGGCTCGAATATAATGGCCTGTGGTAGTAATAACTGAATATTATGTTAATAATAATAATGCACTTTGTTTATTGTTGTAGTCTAATGCTCAATTAGTTGTTAATGTGTCAAAAAGCAGAAATAAATTAAGAATTGTTCTGCATGTCAGTTATCTGAATGAAATGAATTAATTCGTATCAGTATATGGCGGCAGTATCAGTTGATCTGATATCTTAAATGTAAATATTTTATTTCCACATTTCAGTATAGAGAATTAAATGTCTTAACTGTAGAGTGTCACAATGCAAAAAAACTGATCGTCCTAAAATAGGCTTCATTGGTTTTTTTTTATTGTGAGTTTGACCCAACATTGGGTCTACACTGTAAAAAATGTTTGTTTGTTGTTTTTTTGAAGTTGCAAGATTATTAGAGTATGATTTACGATGAAATACTATTTCAGTCTTTCTGCTTCGAAATGTCACATTTAATTTAATTCCATTTCTTTATAATTTGCTGCGGTTTTCTACAAATGTGGCCCTGCTGCACAAAAGCAGTGTTGAGTCGCTGGGGGATATTTGTAGCAATAGCCAACAATACATTGTATGGGTCACAATTATACATTTCTCTTTTATGCCAAAAATCATTAGGCTATTAAGTAAAGATCATGTTCCATGAAGATATTTAGTAAATGTCCTACCGTAAATATATCAGAACTTAATGTTTGATTAGTAATATGCATTGCTAAGAACTTCATTTGAACAACTTTAAAGATGATTTTCTCAATATTTAGATTTTTTTGCACCCTCAGATTCTAGATTTTCAGATAGTGTCCTATCCTAACAAACCATACATCAATGGAAAGCTTATGTATTCAGCTTCAGATGATGCATAAATCTCAATTTCAGAAAATTGACCCTTATGACTGGTTTTGTGCTCCAGGGTCACACATGTGTGTCAGTCCTGCAGCATGTTTCAGTGCACCTCTAATAACTTGTCCTCCTGTAAAGTGTAGGTTTATTGTGAGCTTTTAAAGGAGCGGTAGCTGTGTGTTAACGACTGTTAGCTCGGATGCACAGCAGATGTGTTTGTGTGTGTGTTTGTGTGCAGTGCTGTATACTGAGGCTGTGTCTCTCACAGATCCTGTCCTCGATCGAGCTGCTCCAGCACTCGCTGCCCAAGATCAACCGCAGCGCGTCCGAGCCGTCGCTCCACAGAGCCTCGCACACCGAGGACATCAGCGTCTGCACACTGCCGCTCTCCGCTGTCTTCAAGTGAAGCGCTGTGCTTCTCTGTGTGTGCGATCCAAGCTTTCTCATCCTCCTCACAATCATGTGCCTGCAAGCAGAGGCTCTGGTGAATATTCCCTAAGTGCCACTGACAGCCATGGAGTCGCTCGAAACGCCTCCTAGCTCTTCACCGGCGTGTGGCTAGCTGTCTCTTTGACTGTGTGTGTGTGTGTGTGTGTGTGTGTGTGTGTGTGTGTGTGTGTGTGTGTGTGTGTGTGTGTGTGTGTGTGTGTGTGTGTGTGTGTG